TGGACTGTGAGGAGCCCATCTTGTGAGGCTCAGGACCCGCACCTCAGGCAGGGCAGGGCCAACTGTTTAGGCTCTCACATGAAGGAACACACAGCGAGGAGACTGTCAGGACGGCGGTGAGGGCTTGTGAAGAAGAGCCACCTCCCGGTGTGAAAGGACCGCAGCACACGTTGCCCTATCTCAGCCGGGCACACACAGTCATCAACAGCGCCTAGGCTGCCTTCCCATGGGCAGACCTGGGTGTGTCTCCTGATGGCTAGTGAAGGGCAACTGGGGGTACGGAAGCCCAAGAAGAGGGGAAGGGAATGGAAACGCCAACAGACTCAGGCCACCTCTTTCAATGAGGAGACACATGTTCAGCCTGCAGCGGGGAAATGTAAGGAATTTTAACAGAAAATGTACAAACAAACTGAGGTTGGAAGAGAGAAACAGAGGAATGTAAGAGCTTTTGCGGTCACTAGAAAAGAAGGCAGTTTTAACTCAGGGACTGGGGATGGAGCTGGACAGAGATTCTACCTTCCTCTGCGGTCAGGAGTTCAGGGGTGTCCTCACTGTGAGGTGCAGAACAGACCCCTCGATCCACATCCCGTCCCGGGACAGGCGACCTCAGAGGCCAAATCACTTTGCAGTCAGGTGCACCACACACAGGGAGGCAGCAGGCATGGTCACCCACCAGGCCACACAAGGAGGCTGCAGCCTGCCAATGCCCAGAGCAACTGCTCACAGTTCAAGGTGGTCTATGGAGAGCTCAGCTCTTGGAAAACCACCCCTAAAACAAGCTGAAATACAAGAGCCTCCAGTCACTCATGGCACTCTGCCTTGTATTCCCATTCTTTGTCAGAATGGTTTTTCAAACGAATTTACACTCCAGCCTCCATACAATCAGGCATTTGATCTCAAGATAGCTACAGCTCTGTGCCTTGCAGTTAATTACCAGTCTGTAAAATGAGGTGGCTGATGAGGAGAAAACGAGATGATATACGGAGGCCCAGTGTACAAAATATAACAAGTTCTTATAAACAGTAGCCACCAACACTGTCATCATCAAATGAAATTGTTGTTTTTATAAAGTCAGTCACAAGAGTACACAGGTGCTTTATCGGTCTACTAGTTCACACTGCTGGTCTTATCAGAGTGGAAGAAACAGTTTCAGGAAGCAAGAGAAATGCTTTAGGTGGGTGGTTGCCTTGCCTCACATCATCTGGGACAAGGTGAGAAGACTGACTGACTTTTACCCCAGAAGACAGAGCTGCTGAAGGAAGAGGGGGACCCTCTGTCCTGGGCTATGCAGAGGCCAGAATGACAAAGCTACCAGGTCACATCAAGCAGGAGGGGACTGGGAGGAAGGAAGTTCCCTCCCCCAGCAACTATTGCCAAAATCCCTAAATTCACAAAGTCTTCCACGTTCCCAAGCAGCTATAAATCATAGTTGCGAAAGTCCTAAAACATTTTCTTTGCGCATTAACATAACTACCTCCTAGCTGCAAAGTGAAGACTGGGCCAAATGAGCATAAATCTAAAGGCAAGAGTAAGTCCTATCTACTCTTGCTGCCTATTTAGCGATGAAATCCAGGAAGAAAAATGGAAACTCCTGATAGAGATCTGGGAGGGATTATCTAGACTTCAATTAGCTGGGCTCAGCCAATGGTCATCTTCTAAGATCCCGAGGCTGGACTTTGGTCCAGGCCAGTAAATCTGCCCTTGCGGGTAACTTTTTCTAAGCACTTGCCCAGCATTAGCTGAGAGAACAAGAGGGTCGGCAGGGTCTCCTGGGTCTCCCTTACTGGGTCCTGTGTCTGGCACCATGGCCCACACTGTGGACCACCTGAGGGGCGCGTGGGTACCCCATGGCACACCCTGCAGCCTCAAGGTGAGATTCCAGGGACGCGTTCCTGCACAGTCATTTGGTGGTGCATCATTGGCAGCTCTGAGGCCCTGAGGTCCCTCTGCATCAGATGCTGGCCTGGGAAGGCCAACATACAAGCCGTGCCTCTTGCCTGCAGGAGCTCAAAGTCCAGTGTGGGGCAGGCAGTTATTGCATGGTGACACAGACAGTGATAGAAGCCAGCACAAGGTTGTAGGGGCCAGGACACATGGCAGAGGGGAGAGAGGCTTCAAGCTGAGTGCTGTTCCATGCCCTAATTCCACCCTGAATTCTCTCTAACCTGTCAGTCTGTGGATTCTAGCTTTTAATCTGGATACTCACAAGGGCATAGCCAGAAAGACATCACTGCCAGCTTCCTCCCTGTTGTCAGGAGGCTGTGATGTGCTCCTCCCTTCCAGGCAGTGAGGAGGGTCAAGGGATGTGAGACAGCAGCTGAGAATGAGATTCCCTGTAGCAGCTGGGACTCTACCCCAGCACAAAGATCAGGAGGAGAGTTTCCAAAAGCAGTTCCGCATCAGAGGCATCAGCGTCAGGAGATGATCAAAGCAATTTAAAGGCTGAGCATGGCATAAAGGTGGTCAGGAAAAGCAGAAGGGGAGAGATCACCCCGAAGCTATTTGGGTGGGAGGAGGATTCTACCCCCTCAAGTCACAGGGCACAATGTCTTAGTCAAGATCCTCAGGCCTTGCTGTGGGCTCTCTTTCCACCTAGGTGCTCAGCAGATGCATGACTTCCGGCCAACTTCGTCTGAGTCTCAATCTCATCACTGGTCCAAATATCCAGTAAGATAAGGGAGCCCTTCTTACAGAGATTCCCTGTCATGTTTGTTGGCACCTGTGGAGAGTGAGCAGAAGGCCCAGGCCTTCACCTGAGTACCTTCTGTATGAAAGGCCACTGTTCTCCTACACAGCAATTGGAACTGGGACCTCAAGATGCCAGCCATGTACTTACCATGAGTCTCTCACAGGCCTTAGATTATCTCACTTAATCTTTACAGTCTTATGAAAACTTCTCTCTAGTTTACAAAAGGAAGTAAAGACCAATTTTTTTCATTCTTCTGCTCATTCTGTACACATACAGAGGTTCTGTTCCAGCCACTGAGGCTCCAGCCCGAAACAAGACAGCTGGGCTTCTCAGATAATTGAACTAGTTTAGTATATATTGCTAGCTATCAGGTAAACAAACTAGTTGAATATGTACTTCCCTCTCAAAAAGAACAAATCAGGTCAAAGCCATGCCGTGCCATGCCTCCTGAACTGTGAGCAGAAATAGCACCCACTTAGGACTCTGACAACCACTCAAGCCCATGCTAATAGAGGAAGCTGATTTACCCTTAGTCCTCACCATTCAGCTACCACCTCCAGGAAAGTCCCAAGACCCTACTGCCCTTGCTTTTGAACTGAAGCACCAAGTCATAGACTTCTCCAAATGCCTAATATGCTACATCTCGGCCATTCTACTAGGGAAGAAGACCTAGGGACTGGGGAAAAGCTACAGCCTGGGCCAGCAATGCCAGACAGAGGTAGGTGAGTAGGTATGGGAAGAGAGAGAAAAAGCACTGATGGGATTGGAAGACAGCCACTCCCTCAGGAGGCCAAAGCCCTGAGTAGCTGATACCTCTGGAAGGACAGTTCCCATGACACCCGAAAAAGAGGGTACTGAGTGTGAGACGTGACTTCAGAGGGTCTCAAGTGCTCTACTAAAGACCTCTTCCTACCGGTACTGGGTTGAATAGTGACTCCTCATGATTCAACCCAGAACCTCAGAATGTGACTGTACTTAGAAATACGGTCTTTTCAGATATAATTAAATTACAATGATGCGCTGTTGGCCTAAGATTACTTCTACACAGGAATAAGTAACCAGGTACAAATCCATGGACTACGTGAGGATGTAGTGAAGAAGATACAAGGCAAACAGTGCCAAAGATGGACAGCATCCACCCAAACTGAAAAGGAAGAAGGACAGATCCTTCTCCCGGCCTTCTCAGTGTGTCCCTGCCAACACCTTGATCTCCAATTTTCAGCTTCCAGAGTGGCACGGGAAGAAAATGCTGCTGCTTGGACCTCTCCAGTTCGTGGTAACCCCGGTAACTCAGCCACTCCCCAACTTCCCACCTGTTCCGAACACCACACTTCCCCAGGCTCAGCCAGACCAGGCGCAGTGGGGAGGACACGGCAGGGCCTTGGCTGCTTCTGGGCTCTGGCTGCTTTCTGGTGCCCCTCAGCCCTTCTCTCTGGCAGGAAGGAGCACAGGTATTGCATTTCAGCTGCCCACCTTCTGCCAGGAGGCAAACCGGCAGCAGAGTTTTTGTTTTTCCCCTCAACCTTCCAGTTTTGCAGTCTATTTCAATTAGATCAGTGTTTCTTAAATTTCAATCATTTGGTTTCATCGTACGCACGCACACAGACATAACTATGCACTCCCAGTAACTAGTATTCATTGATACTTTTACTTATATATACTTAGTTTTAGACAAGCGCTCTACCTCTACACCCCTTGCCCAAGGGGTTTACAGTGGTGCCTCAGTTCATGACCTTAATTCTTTCCATAATTCTGGTCCCAAACCTAGAGGGACAAGAACCGAATCAAATTCAATGGTTAGGTTAGGTTCAACGTTGACCTGATGGGGAAATGTGATTCGGTTCTCATCCAATTCGGTTTGGGACCAGAATTGTGTTAACAATTAAACTCACAAATGCAGGTATTTCAAAAGAACTGCTACATCATTACAAGAGAGGAGAATCTGCATTAGTTATGTTCTGTAAAATGTATATATAAAAATCCTTAAATTGCACACGTAAGGCAATGCACAACTTTTTAAAACCATTTCTTATACCATTTTAAATTTCACGGGCAGCAATGCTATGGCAAACACTGCCTTTGCAGTTGGCAGGAGCTCTAGGCTCCTAATCAGAAAAAATGACTTCAAGTCCTCTTATCTCCGGCCCCCCGCCCCCGCCCCCGCCCCGGGCTCTCCCGAAGGAGACAACGGGCAGGAGCAGGAAAGGCACTGGGAGTTCTGAGTTCCCACGAGGGGCGATCTGAGAACGCGGAGTCCAGAGCGAGGTTTAAGACACCCAGTCCCGAGTGACAAGCGAGGGGAGGGACTGACCTTCTCGCGCAGGGTGCAGTGGACGTCCGAGGCGACGCGCCCTTCCCACCAGGGCTCATCCATCATCGCTACCGCAGCACCGCGAAGCGCGGCTATCGCGGTCTCGGGGCGCACCCTGAGGGAACACGGGAACTTCAGCGGCCAAGCGGGCGACGCGCGCCCCAGGGACCCCCATCCCCGCTCGCCCCTAGCCAGGG